GCATCGCTAGTAGTAACAAGTGCCTTACTAGTAGTAACAAGAAGCTAGTAGAAACAAGTGCATCGCTAGTAGTAACAAGTGCCTTACTAGTAGGAACAAGAAGCTATTAGAAACAAAACAAGTGCATCGCTAGTAGTAACAAGTGCCTTACTAGTAGTAACAAGAAGCTAGTAGAAACAAGTGTTAAATCCAAGTGCCATGTCCATCCTCTCCGTAGGACTCGCAGGCCATGTTGGCCGAGTTTCAATCCGCCACCCGGATCAGGAGCCGAGCCAGCCGCTTCGCCGGTTGGCCCAAAACAGCGGTTGGTCCAAAAGCGGTTGGTTCGGAAAACATCAGGTTTCGTTGATTGTTCGCCTCCTTTTTTTGACTTAGCTGGCGCCAGTTGATTGTTGCATGTTTTCGGGACTTGTTTGTAGCCTGCATTTCTGTTCTGCTATATCAGCTGATGAATGTTCTTGTGTTTTCGGTTCGTGTTGCGTTCAACTTTTGAAAGGGGCGGGAGGGCTGGCGGGCGGGCGGGCGTTTACGCGACTTTTGGTCAGTTGCGCCGCAGTTTCGTTTCGATTGTCGGAGGGACCCGCGTGTTTCGTCTCGCGTGTTGGTTTGGCTCATTCGTTTGTTGGGTCCGTGTTTTCTGGCTTTATGGACGCATGGACTCTTTGGCTGGGGTTTTGGTCACCGGTTGGTTCCTGCTGGAAGCGTCCTTGGTTGGAAACCGTTTTAGTTGGAAGATGCTTGGTCTGTTCGCTCTTCGGAGCTCTCTTCTTGTTTGTTACAACATGGTCTGTGTGGTGAGAAGGGGCATGTGCGCGCTCGCGAGATCGAAGCGATGCCCCATTGCTTCTCCACCATGCTCAGCAATGAATTCCCGTGGCGATCGGTACAGAGTCGCAACATACAGACAGGGCAGACGATGCACGCCGGACGATGTTCGGATGAGCCGTTGCCCCGCCATCAGGTTTTGAGCATCATAAATGAGTCGAGACATATTCTATTCGAGTGCCACCTCACAAAACATCAGCCGCCTTCGCGGTGAATTGGCAGTTCTTTTCAGAAGAAGAGGGCCGGTTGAGCTCGCGCCTTGGGCGTTCTTTTTTTGTGGCCTGTTGGTGGTAACATGCGGCAACTTAACATGTTAAGAGACTCCCTGGCATTGACCCACTTGCGATCTTGGACAATGGGCAATGATAGGACCTAAGGTTCCAGGCTTCTTCTTTTGGCATTTTGGTAGGATTGGCAATGGGGCAATTACTGTAATCAAAGAAGTGCATGGAGGATGCTTGGTCAGATGTTTCATTCCTTTACAAGAGGTTCACTTGTCAGTCTCTCCAGTTGTGCACCTCAGGCTAATTTGTTAAACCAATTTGCCTGACTCATGCATACCGTGACCACACTCCAGGATGACAGTGGTCTCGCGGCTAACTCCCTTGCAGAAGAGAACCTTTTACTCCACAATAAGAGCTGAGAGAGAGATGAAGAAAGCAAACGACATCGCGCAAATGCTCATCCCAGCTACTGCAGCTCAGATCTCTGGAGATGCCGCATGTAGTATTTGCTTGGATGACATGAAAGAAATCGAGGCTGTATGCTTGCCTTGCGGTCACATTTTTCACACGGAGTGTGCCATGAAATGGCTCACCAAGAGGTCGCAGTGTTGTCCCTTGTGCAAACGACAGGTCACCTGACAGTTTGTGAAAGATCACATTTTCCTGTCCAACTCGCCGCAGAGGTTTCTTTCCCGCGAGTGGGACTGGCAAGGATGCCATTTTTCGATAATTGTTTGAACGACCTTGGCACGGGGCTGAAGTGCTGAAACTTGTCAAGAACTGAAACCAAGGCTTTAGAAAGAAATCGTTGCAACAACAAGATGTTCCTCGGAAAGGTACCCCATGGTGCTAGGGTCAAGAGTCAACAGTTCTTACATTCGTGAATACTCTCCAATACATAAAATTTAAATATTGGAGAGTTCCTGCATTGCGAATGTGTAGCTTTGCGCATGGCAGCAAGACCCTGCAAGATCCTGTGACACGAACAGAAAACGCAATAACTTTGAGTGAATGCGTGGAACGGTTCAATTGACCCAGGTCCTTTAAGCCGACCTCTAAGTAACCTGGATAGAGTCTGATTTTGTTCTGTTGATTTTGATATGTGTACCTTTCTTCCTCTTCCTTTCTCGCTCTTTTCCTTCCGTTCTTCTCCTTTCTCAACGTCGTAGCTTGCCTGACTGGCCCGACCTACGGCGGCCAGGAATGAAGGTGAATTTCGATCATGGTTGAATTACTTGTTTCATGTGTATGATGCAATATCCTCTTTGAAATCATATGAAATCAGGGGGGCCATCCCACACGTATTGTAACATACATCTTGTTTCCTTGGTTTTTTTCCCGAATGCGTAGCGAAGGGTTCTCGTTTAACTCTTGGGGGTCTGGGGGTAGAGTCTTGTTCGCGACCCGTTGCTTCTATGTTCGCAACCGTCCGCAACCGTTCGCAACCGTTCGCAACCGTCCGCAGTAGGTCGCTAAGGCGCTGCCATTGGGGGAAGCTTTTGCAAGTGACTATTCATGGATGTGTCACGTGTCAGTTTGCGACGCTAGTCCATTGTGATTTGCGTGAAAATGATATGTCGCGCAAGAAGCGTGATGCACTTCGCTGCACAGGCGCAGCGTTTTGTGAGATCTGCAGATTGCTGCACAGTTCCATTGGGATTAGCGTTTGGAGAGTCGTGTTTTTGGGGTGTTGGATGTGGCCGTGCCATTGGGATTTGCGTTTCAGGGTGTGGCATCGAAGCTCTGTTTTCGTGACAAGTCTCAGCTGAAATGCCGATTTTGGTGGATGGGAGTGTGCTCAGAACGGGTCGAAATCATTCCAAACGTGTGGTGTGGTGCAAATTTTGTTGAAGCTCACATGAGATGACATTGTTACTTTTCGTGGCAGGCGCAGGACTTTGTGCGGGTTTTGAGGTGTGGAAGTATGATTTTCGTGGCAGGCGCAGGGAATCGTGAGGTTGCGATGTGTGACGGAGGTGACATTTCGTGGCAGGTGCAGTACTTTGTGCGCGTTAGACGTGTGGACGCGGAAAGATTCGTGGCAGGCGCAGGGAATCGGGAGGTTGTGAGTTGTGGTAGAGGTGAATGTCGCTGTCACATTGGGATTGGCGTGTGAGCGGGTGTCGTTTGGAGGGGCTGGAATCGCGAAAATGCTTGGCAGGGCTGCGTGATGTGTGTGCTCCGATGGGTGTTTCCGCTGGACTTTTGGAGGAAGTCTCGTGCGAAACGTTCGTTTTGCAGACTTTGACATGTGAGTTTTTGAGGAAGTCTCGTACGAAACGCTCGTTTTGGGGACTTGACATGTGACTTTTGGAGGAAGTCTCGTACGAAACGCTCGTTTTGGAGACTTGACGTGTGACTTTTGGAGGAAGTCTCGTACGAAACGCTCGTTTTTGAGACTTGACGCGTGACTTTTGGAGGAAGTCTCGTACGAAACGCTCGTCTTGCAGCCTCGCAGCGTGGCTTTTGGAGGAAGTCTCGTACGAAGAGTGTGCCCTACAGGAGTGTCCCACAAGAGTGTCCTACAAGAGTGTCCCACAAGAGTGTCCTACAAGAGTATCCCACAAGAGTTTCCTACAAGAGTGTCCCACAAGAGTGTCCCACAAGAGTGTCCCACAAGAGTCTCCTACAAGAGTGTCCCACAAGAGTGTCCCACAAGAGTGTCCCGTATGAGTGTCCCACAAGAGTGTCCCACAAGAGCGTCCCGCATGTCCCACAAGAGTGTCCTACAAGAGTGTTCCACAAGAGTGTCCCGTATGAGCGTCCCACAAGAGTGTCCCACAAGAGTGTCCTACAAGTGTGTCCCACAAGAGTGTCCGACAAGAGTGTCCCATAAGGGTGACCCACAAGAGTGTCCTACAAGAGTGTGCAACAAGAGTGTCCCGTAAGAGTGTCCCACAAGAGTGTCCTACAAGAGTGTCCCACAAGAGTGTCCTACAAGAGTGTCCCGTAAGAGTGTCTCACAAGAGTGTCCCACAAGAGTGTCCCGCAACCATGTCCCACAAGAGTGTCTCACAAGAGTTATGAGTGTCCCACAAAATTGTCCTATAAGAGTGTCCCACAAGAGTGTCCCACAAGAGTGCCCTACAAGAGTGTCCCACAAGAGTGTCCCACAAGAGTGTCCCGCAAGAGTGTCCCGCAACAGTGTCCCTTAAGAGTGTCTCACAAGAGTGTCCCTTAACAGTGTCCCACAAGAGTGTCCCACAAGAGTGTCCCGCAAGAGTGTCCCGCAACAGTGTCCCGCAAGAGTGTCTCACAAGAGTGTCCCTTAAGAGTGTCCCACAAGAGTGTCCTGCAACAGTGTCCCACAAGAGTGTGTCCCACAAGAGTGTCCCACAACAAGAGTGTCCCACAAGAGTGCCCTACAAGAGTGTCCCACAAGAGTGTCCTACAAGAGTGTCCCACAAGAGTTTCCTACAAGAGTGTATCACAAGAGTGTCCCACAAGAGTGTCCAGAGTGTCCCACAAGAGTGTCCCACCAGAGTGTCCTGCAAGAGTGTCCCACAAGAGTGTCCCACAAGAGTGTCCCAAATGAGTGTCCCACAGGAGTGTCCCACAAGAGTGTCCCGCAACAGTGTCCCTCAAGAGTGTCTCACAAGAGTGTCCCTTAAGAGTGTCCCACAAGAGTGTCCCGCAACAGTGTCCCACAAGAGTGTCCTACAAGAGTGTCCCACAAGAGCTGCCTACAACAGTGTCCCACAAGAGTGCCCCATGAGAGTGTCCCACAAGAGTGTCCTACAGGAGTATCCCACAAGAGTGTCCTACAAGAGTGTCCCACAAGAGTTTCCACAGAGTGTCCCACAAGAGTGTCCCACAAGAGTGTCCCACAAGAGTGTCCCGTAAGAGTGTCACACAAGAGTTTCCTACAAGAGTGACCCACAAGAGTGTCCCACAAGAGTGTCCTACAAGAGTGTCATTTGGACATATGTAGCTTTTTGAACGTGTTTGCATTCGGGTTCGTGGGCTCCATCTGGTTTCCTTTCAGATGTCATCTCCTTTGCTCCAGGGCTTCGACTTCCAAGCCGTCGCCTTTCTGCCGGGCATCCCCACGGTCATTGAGAAGCAGGCCCTAGCGGCAAACCTGGCGGACGCCCTTGAGGCGTCGCATGTTCTCAAACGAGCACTGCCATGGCCACCTTGAATGGCTGGGGGCTAGTGGACCCAACGAAGCCCGCTCCGCTCCGAATGAACTGAAGAGGTGTTCACCGTTCCGCATCGAGGGCGAAGTGGGGGTCCTTGACCACCCCAACGGCCGACTCGCGGCCCCACAGACTCGAACAGGGCGCCCTGTGGCCCTGTGGGTATCTGAATTTGGTCGACTCGATCAGGCAACACAACATACAAACTCCCATCCACATATGTCGAGATTTATATTATATTACGAGTATTGTGTTGAACTTGCCAAAAGAACACAGGTGCATTCTAAGATCGTGTCGTGAGTCTTTTGTTGGGAGCTCTACTATACTGTTTGGATCAAGCACCACCAAAAGCTGGCTAAGGAGCTTTCCATCACAAACAGCTTCCTTTCGAGCGAACTTCCTTCTAGTCGTTTGAGAGATGAATTGGATGTACCTCTAGAAGATATTATCCAGAAATGGATGCCACTAGCTAGTCGTTTGAGAGTTGTAGAAAACCTGAAGGCGACAGAAATCCCACCTCTTCCACCGCGCAGGTGGTATGCCCTGTGCTTCAGCCCCCTGCCCCACCACCTGAGCGGCAGGCGGGGGGGAAGAGAAGCAGGTAGATAGAACATGATAGAAGAATAGAGATCGAGATACATAGATTGTGGTGACTTTAAGGTTTACGGATGGATCCTTTCAGGTTCTTTGCTTCACCAAAAAGCCCGTGGCGCAGTAGTCTGTGCGTTTGTCCAGCCTTGTAGCTGGGAATGTGGTCTGTGAAAATTGGCGGAGTTGTTCCAAAGTTTTGGAAGTTGTCTCAACAAATCTGGGGCTTTAGCGATGCAAGGTACAGCACTTTTCTGAAGACTTACTGAGAATAAGAAGAGTGGTCTCTAAAAGTCCCCCCATGTCCTTTTTTTCTTGCATGTTCTTACTTTCCTGTTCATTCTTTATCCTTTAGACCTTTTTTGCTTTCTTCAGTGCTATTTGTTTTCTTTCTTGCTTGATGTTCTTCTTTTGTATTTACACGTGTTTTAAATAGATATTTCTTTGACCGGTCTTCCTTTCTTTGTTTATCGTGTTTTTTCAAGTCTTCCGGAGTCTCAAAAACCCCTTCGCTGAGGAAAGCATTTGGGACATCGCTGAGGCCTCAGGACGCCATCCAAAATCCAAACTGGACAAAGTTTGGAGCAGCTATATTTTGTGGAGAAAGATTTAAAGCAACTAATTGAAACCATCAGAAACATCGAAAAGTGAATCTGTAGAGATCTTAATGAAGCCTCGTTCGTGGCTTTTTGAGGTGGTCGTCTTTGGTTTTTAGCAGATGTTCTTGTTCCAAGCCAGGATTGTTGAGGGATTTTGTCCGGGGTATTTGATGAGAGAACGGCTGCTCAAAACACCCTAAACAGGGCAAGCGACCGAAGGAATCGAAGCATGTTGAAAGACCTCGAAAGTCTCTTGTTTATGGCAGATGCTGTTCTTTTCAAGAGTCCAGGTAGCAAAAAGAACAGCTTAACATAGCTTATATAGTTATACTATATAGTCCATACATTCAACGATTCGACTTATTTGTTTACCTTTTGGATGGCGCGCAAACCGCCCGATCTCTCGACTGAGGACCAGCCGGGCATTGGTCGCCGGGTGGTGAACGGCGAAGTCTTCGCTCGGAATGCTCGGGTCGAGAGCGGTCGGTCCGATCATCCGTTCATCAGAAAATGAGAAAAACAAAGAGTAAAACACATCAAACGAACTATATCAACATGGTAAAAGATCCATCAAGATGATTCCATGTTTTAACAACAGAACATCAAAATTCATGTGTCTTTTGGACTTTCTGGCCTTACCTGTCATCAGTCACCGCAGGCACCCCAGAACATGAAACAAAAACAGACTGACTAAAGGAAAACAAACATAGCATCCTTGTTCCTAGTAGTATGGCCAGGAGCCCCTAGTAGCGTCCTTGCTCCTAGTACTAAGGCCAGGAGCCCTAGTAGCGTCCTTGCTCCTAGTAGTAAGGCCAGGTGTCCTTGCTCTTTGTAGTAAGGCCAGGAGACCCTAGCAGCGTCCTTGCTCCTAGCAGTAAGGCCAGGAGCCCCTAGTAGCGTCCTTGTTCCTATTAAGAAGGCCAGGAGCCCCTAGTAGCGTCCTTGCTCGTAGTAGTAAGGCCAGGAGCCCCTAGCAGCGTCCTTGCTCCTAGCAGTAAGGCCAGGAGCCCGTAGTAGCGTCCTTGTTCCTAGTAGGAAGGCCAGGAGCCCCTAGTAGCGTCCTTGTTCCTAGTAGTAAGGCCAGGGTCCTTGTTCCTGGTAGGAAGGCCAGGAGCCCCTAGTAGCGTGTTTGTTCCTAGTAGGAAGGCCAGGAGCGCCTAGTAGCGTCCTTGTTCTTAGTAGGAAGGCCAGGAGCCCCTAGTAGCGTCCTTGTTCCTAGTAGGATGGCCATGAACCCCTTATAGCGTCCTTGTTCCTAGTAGTAAGGCCAGGAGCCCCTAGTAGCGTCCTTGTTCCTAGAGCCCTAGTAGCGTCCTTGTTTAGTAGGAAGGCCAGGAGCCCCTAGTAGCGTCCTTGTTCCCAGTAGGAAGGCCAGGAGCCCCTAGTAGCGTCCGTGTTCCGAGTTTTGGTGGCTCCTACACTTTGCCTTCAGGTCCCAAGTTGCGGCCCGTCTGCCCTGTATAGATCCCGCCTTGACGAGGTCCCTGCGCTGATGAACGGCACTGGGAGCTTCTTGTCGCCTGACTGGGTGGCCAAATCCATTCCACTTCACTCGCTGAGCTGTCAGGTTTCGTGGCGCTGTGAGGTGTTTCACGGTCTTTGACGTACTTTGTTTGGATGACATGAAGGATGAAGAGATCCCTAAGGAGGTACTTGGCCCTCCTGGCGCAGTGTCTCCCTGCTCACCTTCTCATAGGGTGGCAGCAACCCTGTACACAGCCACCCTTTCAATGTCCACCTTTACCTCTTTTGGGACTTGTAGGACGGTGTAGGTATGTCACCTTGTTTCAACTACCTTCTTGGCCGAGGCATTCCGAACCCTTGGGAGACTATGTGGCCTGCTATGCCGGTGACGATGAGGAGAGAGACAGGGCAAAGAAACAACACCAAAACACCGGGCAGGTCGAAGGTTCCAAAGAAGGATATACCTGGTTCCCAAATAGATCGTGGCTTTTTTTAAAGGGTACTTTTTGAGTGGGTGGTCTCCAACTTGCATCGATCCATTTGGTACTGGAGACAGAGACTCGAGGACCCGTTGCCCATCTTCAACCGCATTGGGCCCTTCTTTCCGCCGGGAGGCTCTAACCGCGGTGGCCAAAGTAGAGAAATGGTCCGGCCGACTTAAGGCCGACTTATATAAGGAGTTTTCCAGCAGGGTCGTCAGGGCTCGTGGATGAGATGATGTGGAATTGCTGAAGAATCTCTTCATTGAACTCAACTACCCAACCTGTCCCCTGTCCCTCTTCGATGTAGTGCCAGTGCCGTGACTTCGATGTCCGGAACGAAGACTTCGCACAGCGCAATCGGAGTGTCAGGGCATCGAAATGGTGAGCTTCCAGTGCCGGTGCATGAGCTGGCGATATCTCTAGATCTCCTTGCTCCAGAAAGGTTGATGGTACACCCTTTTTGCAGGGCGGCAATGTTAAACTGTGACTATGATGACCATGACTATGACATTCTAAGTGTTTCAAACACTGGCAGGATGGCAGAGCAGCTCAACATACACCCAGACTAATGTGGACCTTGGTCAAGCAGTCAACCACTATGTCGCAAACGTTTGCGCGGGAATATACTTGACTTTAGGCCCTTTGGGCCTCAGCCTAACATCGAATCTGAACGAAGACAGACAAAGCCATTCCAACCCCCCCATGCCGAGCCGGTACAAACCAAACGGGTGTGTATGAAAATAGCTGTTCCGACCCCCTGGGCTCGGTAAAAGGAGTCTCAGGACCTAGTCTCATGACTAGTCAAGGACTCAGTCAAGTCCAGGGAGCCCAGAAATGCCAGTACTTGGCGAACTTGCTGACCGCTGACCGCTCCCCAGCGAGCGGTTCACGAACTGGCCGCGTGCCTCGCGGCGGGCTGAGGTCCGTGGATGTGCTGAGCCTCTACAGCGCGGGCGAACCCTACCAGTGGCCCAGCACGACGCGGGCGCGCTCACCGTCGGGATCGGGGGATCGGTGGTGTTTTGTTTTTTTTTTTTAAGGCATCAACTCCTTTAGTTGGATCCGAGTGGCTTCACTTGGCAAAGCTTTTCCAAAAAGGATGACAAGAGGGCCCAGAGGGCAGGTGTTTCCAAAAGAATGGTATCCAGGCAGTCGAAACGCAGTGCGCTTTTTCGGCCATGACTCGAAACCCAGTGCAGTTCCCGGACGCACAGCACGGACGGACTCCATTCTTCACCTCGGAAGCGCCAAACATGAGAGTCATGAGTCATGTTTGACCAGTTTGGCGCTCGGCCATCCTTCCAAACATGAGGGTATAGCGTCTTTGTGAAGGCAAGCCTTTGAAGTGCCAAACAAACATCGGCTTTGAAAAGGCGCAATGAAAAGCTTCGAACAAGGCCTTCCAAAGGCCGATGGGTCAAACAGAGAGCTCCTGCAGAAGTGTGGCTACATCCAATGCATGTTTGGCCACTTGACGCTCCTGACTGGCAGAAGAAGGGGTCATTCAACTCACACCTAAAATCGAAGAGCATAGAAGAGCTACTTACCGACCAAGAATGTTTTTTTGTTGTTGCCTAAGAGCCTATAAGGTCTTGGCCTTAAATACTTTAGCAACAATGTTAAACTCTTTCCCCAAATAGGTATGTTGTTCCCCACCTGCCAGGTGAGGGTTGTTAGATTTTATCACAGTTGTTCTTCCTCCGCCTCCGCCTCCGCCGCCTCCTCGTCCTCCTCCTTCCTCCTTCCTCCTTGCTTCCTTCCTTGCCAATCTTCATCGCCAATCTGCTTCGCCGATCTTGTCTGGCCAGCTCCGGATCGCAGTGTGCACCCCTGGACCTCAACCGCAAGGATCCCCTCGCAGTGTGCACCCCTGGACCTCAACCGCAAGGATCCGATCGCAGTGTGCATCCCTGGACCTCAACCGCAAGGATCCGATCGCAGTGTGCACGCCTGGACCTCAACCGCAAGGATCCGATCGCAGTGTGCACCGCTGGACCTCAACCGCAAGGATCCGATCGTAGTGTGCACGCCTGGACCTCAACCGCAAGGATCCGATCGCAGTGTGCATCCCTGGACCTCAACCGCAAGGATCCGATCGCAGTGTGCACGCCTGGACCTCAACCGCAAGGATCCGATCGCAGTGTGCACGCCTGGACCTCAACCGCAAGGATCCGATCGCAGTGTGCACCGCTGGACCTCAACCGCAAGGATCCGATCGCAGTGTGCACCGCTGGACCTCAACCAGATAGTTTGCCAGATAAAATCCACAAACACACAATCACAAACACACGACCACAAACGCGCAACCACAAACGCACAACCACAAACACAATCACAAGCCCACAATGACAAACACAATCACAAACACACAACTACAAACACAACTACAAAGACACAATCACAAACACATAACTACAAACACAACTACAAAGACACAATCACAATCACACAACCACAAACGTACACACAACACACAACCACAAACAC